ACTTTTAAGAACACCTACTATATCGGCTTCATTAAACAATTTCCTTAGTTCTGCTTTCCTTTTTCAAAAGTTTTGCTGCAATTCCATCTTTTCTGGTGCTTTACCATTCTTAAGCATATTTATCGTTTGTTCAATTTATTCATCTGTAGGTTACTCTATATATTGTTCAACTATACATATAATCTATTTTTCCGCATGACTCATTAAGGGTCGACTATTTAAGCATTCTTTCAAGAACGGGTTTGAATTCATTGGCTACTTTGGCTTTTTCTGTTATAAGTGTACCCATCTTCGCTTATCATAATTATTTAGTTGGTCTTAAATCTGATTTTAATTTCGTTAGCTTTTTCCAAAAAAAGTTTTTCGTTATTTCTATAACTTCTTTTTATAATTTTGGTCCCCATAATTCTTTATTTCATGCAAACTGTGTTTTCCTATTGTTGGTATGTATATAATTTCCTACCCTATTTTTGTATTAAAATCTGCTACGATGCATTTAGTTTAACAGGTAACACTAACGTGCCGAGCATAATAAAGGAATAATTGTTGGTTTGTAATCACGGTATTGACGTCGAGCCGTTATATAGCACCAAAACAAACTAAGATTACTTATGGCACAAAAAAAAAACAATATCGCAAAAATATAACAATTCTTTGAGAAGTGAAACCGTATTGTAAGAATTAATAATACTTATGGAACGCAAAAGAAGCGTGAAGGTGCAATAGGATGACTGAAAACGGCGTATTATTCCGATGGATATTGGGTATTTGTTAGACTTTACACTATGACGATAACGCGTTTGTGTAACGGTCCGGTATACAGTGGAGCGTTGGCTGAAAAGGATGTCCACGGGTGACAACGCCATGGCCGTGTCAAATTTACATATTTACAAATTGAATTTATAACATAAAATATCCTACAAAATATTTTACTCCTATGTTACAACCATTCATTAAATTGAATCAACCAATTATTTTAACCCCACTATATGTAAAATTATATGTGAATAAAGAAGAAAAAGTATATTACCGATAGCCACCCTAAAATCAAATACTCTACTACCAGTACACAAGTGTGCATCAATGAACTAAAAGTATACATTTGACGAGTCATTAATTCCTTTAACTTGCGTCACATTTACTGACAATCCGCGGAAAACTAACAAATGATTTATAATCGTACTAGTATACTGGTCCGACGGCTTGGCAAGTATAGCAGTCGTGGTAAACCATCTTTATATACACACTTATATGCAAAGCTATAGTTCGTCGATATATCGCATGACTATGTAACAAAATAAATTAATTTAATTTTTTTCATTACACTATAATCTTTTTATGATCTACACATGGTAATAAATTTGATTCATAATATCTTATGTATGTAATATTAGTTTTTTATTTGTATTATATCTGATTTTATTTTGTTTCTATAATTAGTCTTTTAATAAGTTACTTTGTTTCTATACATACACTATGTATATCGCTTACTGTACTGTTGCCTTAAGGGCATAATCATTGTTTATGATGAAATAATTAAATTCTTATTATTGGCTAGAATTATAATTGAAATACTTTAATCAAACTTTATTCTGCATGTATAATATTTTTAAATAAAAATTTTCAATACAAATTTATAATTTTTTATATAATGATTTAATGATATACAATGATTAAAAGTTTGTTAGACAGTGAAAGAATTGATCATTATGAGATTGAACTATTTGTTGGGCAGATTTATTTTTCTGCTAACCACATAATAGCCAATAACACGCTGTCAAATAATTATAACCAACAGGCTACATGTGATTCAGAAGTAAAATTTCTATTTAAGGATTTTGGTATTACTTAGGCATTACATTTCTTTTAGCTTCGATGCGAAGCTGAGCATGTATTAATTTTATTATGATGTGTTTTTTATTTTTTATTGTGTCTGTTACCACTTTTTCTCAGCTCTCATAGAACCGACTTCTTTTAACAATACGTCAAAAGATCACAAATCGTATCTAGTCGAAGACATTACCCTCAAAAATTGAAAAAATTTCCCTCGTTCTCCATAAATGGGATAAACCTCCAAAAAAATTACAAATTTAAAAATCGCTAATTTTCGAAATTTTTTCAATTTTTTTACTTAAAACTGCCATAACTTTTTCAAAAATGAACAAATTAATATAATTTTTTTTTTTATAAATGCTTTATGTCTTTACCTATCATTTAATATATTTTTTTTTATAAATTTAACCCATTACCAGCCCACAGGGAGGATTTAAAATAACAACTTTTTCAACTTAACTTTTGAAAGTGTTCCGGAAAGTCTGACACTTTTATATATATATTAAATTAAAGATAATGTAATATATTTTATTTTGAAAAAAAAAATTTGACCTCTGGACTTGTCTTCATGATGAAATTGGAAACCAAATGCTATTTTCGTGTGAAAATTCTTGATTTTATTTTTTACATTTTTAACATTATAATGCTATAACTTATTGAAAAGTGTATGGATCAACACAATTTTTTTATGAGAAATAATATTTTTTAATAATCCCTTTTTCATTCGGTATATTAATAAGAAAATAACAGATCATGTAGCTTTTGGAATAATCCACCAATTTTTTAAAATTAAACACTATCTAAAGATTTGCATCGAAGCGTTTTTGTTGATAGTGATTGTAATCACTGTCAGATATCATTATACTTGATCCAACTATGCCACGTCACCACTGTGCCGCGACCGCCCTGTGCTGGGTTTTTTTTTTTTTTTTAAATCGGATTATTTCACAAAGGAGTTCAAAACTTAAAATTCAAATAGAAAGTAGAACTTTTCTAACTTGTTTTTAATTAAAATATATTTATTGATTATTCATACATAATTTAAGTTAATAATTTTAGTTATAATTTTTTATATTAATGAGAAGGATTTTGTTATTATTTAGGCCATATGCGAAACTCTAATTGCAGATTAGTATTATATCAAAACCTCCAACTTAATATAATTATAAATTAATAACTACTTTACAATTTTTTCCTGAAAATTACAATACTAAATTATTAAATCAATTTCAAAGTATATTTAATTGCTATTATAAATATTTATTCTTATATTACACTTATAAATCATAAAACTTGTAATCATGGTATAAATAAGGAAATAGGAGATCATATTGCTTTTGGAAAATCCACCAATTATTTGTTATTGAACACTATCTACAGATTTACATCGAAGCGTTTTTTATGATAGTGCATTTAATTACAGTCAGATATCTCTATACTGGACCCAACTATGCCACGTCCATACTGTGCTGGGTTTTTTTAGCTTGATGTGTTTTTTTTTTGTGTCTATTGCCATTGTTTCTCAGCTCTCATTGGACCGATTTTGATGAACAATGTGTTAAAAGATCACAAATCGTTTCTAGTTGAAGATATTACCCTTAAAAATTGTAGAAAAATGTTCTTTCAGTAAATGAGGAAAATTTCCAAAAAAATTATAATTTTTCAAATTGGTAAATTTCGTTATTTTTTTCTTAAAATTACTATAGCTTTTTTTAAAAATTAACAAAACAATTTAATTTTTTTTTATTGAAACCTTAGATACTTCCTTTTTTGGGTATCATTTTTTTGAAAATAAAATACATAGACTGCTCACAGGGGGACTTAAAATATTAACTTTTTTATAAAAACTAGCTTTATCAATTTAACTTTTAAAAATGTTCCGGAAATACTGCAATCTTTAAACATATATCAAATTAAAGCTTATGTCGAATGAGCATCCGGATGATTGCCGAGGCCGTAAACGTTGATAAGGAGAAAAGGTTAGAAAAATTTTACACAAGGAATTGAATATGACAAAAGTCTGTGCGAAGATGATGCCAAAAAACCTGACTCCTGACCAATATCTCTTGCGTCAACAGGTCTGCTCAGATTTCCTTGAAATGTTAGAAGACGATCCTAGACTGATGGAAAACATTATTACTTGCGAAGAAACATGGATTTTTCAATACGATGTTGAAACAAAGCGGCAATCGATGCATTGGAAGACACCTTAATCGCCTAGAATCAAAAAAGCAAGTATGTCCAAATCAAAATTTAAGTCAAAGCAGATCGTTTTTTTCGACATTAACGGTATTGTGATGACCGAATGGATTCCGGAGGGTCAGACTGTCAACCAGAGTTACTATTTGTCAGTTTTGGCAACACTGCGAGAACGGGTTCTTAAGAAACGGCCGATAAACGTACTCCAGTGCTCGAACACGCGCTGTACTCGCCAGATTTGACACCGTGCGATTTTTTTTGTTTCCAAAGATAAAATCTGCTTTGAAAGGGACCCGATTTAAGTCTATGAAATCGGCAAAACAAAAAACTGTGGAGCTCCCAAAGGCCCTCACTAAAGAAGACTTCCAGTACTGCTTCGATCAATGGAAAAAATGTATGGAAAGATGTGTAGTGAGGGGAGGGGAGCATTCGAATGTAGAAAAATTTTTATAATAAAACTCTTTTTCGTAACCAGTCTTGTTATTTAATAGCCAGACCTCGTAATAAAATCTACCGGTCCCTCATTCCACGAGATATTCTCTATTGTCTCTTTTGGGTACTCCTCATTCAATAATTTTTCAAAATATTCTTTCCGCCTTTTTTTCACATCATCATCACTCGAGAGTACATTATTATCAACACTTTTTATACACCTTATTTAATGATAATCTTTAGACCTTGTAACGTAATAAAATTATCATGAGTATCAGGTCACAGGTAACTGTATTCAAACAGTGCGTGTCGTACATCTGTAGGTTCAATGTTGCACATACAGGGTATGTATAATAAGTAACCGGACTGTACCTACGCCGCGCCAACAAAGCGTCTGCTAGCCGGTCTGTGGTGCTTGGGTGGTGGTGGGGGATCTAGGGAAGCCAGCCGACCAGTAGTCAGTTGCCTCCAAGCACTTGGAGAGACAGGATAGCCCGAGAGCGCAGTGCATGTTGAAAAACCTCGTCGGAGTGAAAATGGAGCGAACGATCGAGCAACGTGTTAGCATCAAATTTTGTGTGAAATTAAAAAAAACCGCCACGGAAACTCTTAAAATGATTCAAGAGGCTTTCGGTGAGGATGCCCTATCCAGAACTCAAGTGTTTGAGTGGCACAAAAATTTCCGGGACGGCCGCGAAGACGTCCATGACGAGCAGCGCATCGGCCGTCCAGTTTCCACTCACACGGACGCAAATGTGAAGAAAGTGCGTGATGTTTTGAACAATGACCGTCGTTTGAGCATCCGGATGATCGCCGATGAGGTGGGCATTGACAAAATGACCGTGCACAACATTATTACAAACGATTTGGGCATGAGAAAAATTTGCGCGAAGCTCGTGCCCAAAGTTCTCACGGACGAGCAAAAGGAACGTCGCGTCGCTGTCGCTTCGGAAATGATTGATCGACTGCAAACTGAATCAGAAATTTTGGACCGTGTTATTTCAGGAGATGAGTCATGGGTTTTTAAATACGACCCTGAAACAAAAAGGCAAAGTACAGAATGGCACACGTTGGCGTCGCCGTGACCCAAAAAAGCGCGGATGAGCAAATCGAGGGTGAAGTCGATGCTCATCGCATTTTTTGACGTCAAAGGTATTGTTCATAAAGAATTTGTACCGCCAGGACAAACAGTAAACAGCGAGTTCTACAAAGGGGTGATCCGACGACTGACTGCCCGGGTTCGCCGAGTCCGTCCGGAGATTGCCGATTCATGGATCCTGCATCGCGACAACGCGCCGTCGCACACCTGCCTGCTTGTTACCGAGGAATTGGCCAAAAAATCGAGAACGACGTGGCCACAGCCTCCCTACAGCCCAGATCTGGCACCACCCGACTTTTTTTTGTTCCCCAAGATAAAGAGAGACATGAAGGAAACGCGTTTCGGGACTCTGGTGAACGTTCAAATCGCTACGACGAGGGCTCTAGACAGCATTCCGGTTGCCGACTTCCAGCGGGCGTTCCAGGACTGGAAAAACCGCTATCAACGCGTCATCGACTCCAATGGGGACTACTTTGAAAGTTTCTGAAAGAAAATTGTAAATATTGCAGTAACAAAAAATTTTATGAGGTCAGTCCGGTTACTTATTATACAAATCCTGTACACACATAATTATTTATTAAATTGATATGTTTCCTACCACCTGTGATTCTCATTCTAAATACCATAATAATGAACACACTGTCAAGTACCCTCTCCCATGAGTGATCAAGCCGACATAAGAAAAAAATCACGGTTATGTTCAAAAAGAAGCTCTCAATCATCATCATTCGTTTTCTTCTCTACTTCTTCTTCGTTTTGGATCAATGGCATCGTCTCTTCAATATTTTGACGTGTGTTACGAATCCGTGATGGAGGAGTAAAGTTTTTCAATTTGGCTTGGCCATCATAATGGCATCAACACCAATACATTTTCTTGGGCATTCAACAACGAATTATTATAACATGGTATATTTGTTCCTTTTTTGTTTGTTATATTTTGTCTTGCATATGTAAATTACTTCATTGTGTTATGAGCTATTTCGTCATGCTCTTATTTTTTAGTTAATGACTATATGGATTGTAACTATGATCTTAGATTATGTTATATGGTCAATTCTTTCTGTTTCTTTAATTTTTCTTTCTTCACCTTACGTGAGTTGACAGGTACTCGGGTGTGGTCAGAGTGGATATGGTGAACATCTCAATGGCTCCTCTACACTTATGTGGAGAATACCCTATTTTCTTTGTGTTTTCTCGTGTTGGTACATTATTAAATTAATTATTTGATCCAGTTAATATTTGATATGTCGAGTCGTTCTGAAATGAACTCTTAAATACTGATTATGTGTAATTATACAACTCATAAAATACAAAGGCCGTTCTGAAGCCTGTTTATTTGTAGACAGTTAACCCCTTTCTGCATGAATTAATTGTTTTTCTCAAAAAAAAATATCTATGTAGATTGGGGTCATAGTGACATGAAAAAATTTAAAAAAATTTTTTTGACCATTTTTGANTTTGGGGTCATAGTGACATGAAAAAATTAAAAAAAAATTTTTTGACCATTTTTGATCCTAAAAAACCCTAAAGAGTAATGTGTGCCAAAAATGGAACAATGCGCACCAAAAATATTTATGTGCCATATTTGGATCTTATGCGTTAGAGTATACAGCACTATTATGTGCCATATATGGGACATATGCAGCTATGAAATAATACTTACATTACTATAACACACTATATTTTTTACATTGTGTATAAAAATAAAAATCACTTGTCTTGTAATTAAAAAAATTTAAACAATTTTATATAAAAACATATATAAAAATAACCATCACATATCTAGTAATAAAATTTTTTTTTTAAATTTAATATAAAAATAACAATCACATATCTTGTAACAAAAAAATTTAAAAAATTTTATATAAAAATAACAATCACACATCTTGTAACAAAAAAATTTAAACAATGTTTGTAATACATATGGCATATTTTAAACTGTATGGAAAAGAAGGAAACAGTTCCTCTCCTTGTTTATACATAAAGGTATTGTACATTTTTGACAGGTTATCATAGTCTTAAAATTGCAATCAGGATATTTACATCTTATACGATTGTTGGTATGAATAGGATAATGATCATACCCATCCAGTCTTACTTCTTGTTCAGGAATTTCCTTGCAAGGACCTCTCCTCCGTTTTTTTTCATTATACATATACTCAGTTGTGTTTTCTTCTAAAGTTGGTCTCCCTCTCCTTTTCGGTGATACTTTTTGTTTTTCACATAAAACTTCCGATACTAAGAGTTTGAAGTCTACTAGTGGTAAATAAGAGTTATCGGTATGAACTCGACGATATAGCAGCCATGCATTCACCACACACAAATCCAAAACATGGAAAAATATTTTGATATAATATTTTTTGGACTTGATACTTATTCTGTAGTAGCCTAGCATTGAATCGACTCCCCCCATATAAGAGTTATATGTATCAATTGCCTTGGGGCACGGTACCATTTTGTATTTTTTTTCACTTCTAAAAAATATTTTTTTTTCCCCAATTGGCTGACTTCCAACATAAGTGGACACCATGTTCACTAATTTGTTATCGTACCACGAAACTGCTGATAATGTTACATCATTAATTGTTGTAAGTTTCTCACAGAAAGTGCCTCTACCTTTTTTTTTAAAATCTTTTTCACTTGGCATATTTAATCCAGTTAAGCGATTTAATCTAGCAGTTCCTAGGGGAAGAATACCTTCTTTCTCCAAATAAATTAGTAAGTCTATACTTGTAAACCAGTTGTCAAAAAATATCTTGTAATTGCAATTTCTTGGTATTGATGCAGCCATTTTTACAACCATATTGCTACTTACTGAGAATGAAGGCAAGTTATCAGGCATAATATTAGTTTGAGCACCAGCAAAAATTTCAAAATCATAGCTAAATCCAGATAAACCACTTAACACAAATACTTTATAGCCCCATTTATGGGGTTTTTTAGGGTTGTATTGTTTGAGAGATGATCTGGATTTAGTGGGTATGATTTGCTCGTCCACCGCAAGGTACTCTTCTTTTGGAATAGAGGTACATATAGTTCTAACTGCATCAATAAGGGGACGGACTTTAAACAATTTATCATAATTATTGTTAGTATTGTTTGGCAAATTCAAATTATCATTAAAATGGAGAAATCTCTTTATTTCTTCGAATCTATTGAGAGGCATCACATTATATATTGATGGAATGCCCAGTTCGCCCCAATAATGTCTAGTAGAGGGTAAGTGTACAATAGACATTTTAAGGCATATCCCAATAAACTGTTCCATTTCCTTTATACTGATATTGGCTGGTTTATTTGGACGTACTTGACTGGCATATATATTAGATTGTTCAACAATAAATGAAATGAGTGACTTAGGAAATAATTCAGTAAAAAACTCGTATGGTGATACCATATTTTTAATGTTAGTAGGTAAATTTATATCTCCTAAAAATTTAATCTGATCTTCAGGTCTTTCAAGATGATTTTCGGTCCAAATAGGTTTAGTTTTTTTATTTGCTTGCTTATTAGACAAAAGTGGCTCATTTCTTACGTTTTTCAATCTAACATCAAGTGGAATATCATCATAATCATCAGGTTCTTCATCAGAATCGGGTATTACGAGTATGTCATCATTGACTTCACTTACCTCACTGTCAGAATCATACACTAATATATTTTTTGGTTGATATAAATCTTCATCATCTGATGCCGAGCTACAGTCACTTCTTTCAGGTATTTGTACTGTATGTAAAACTGTTCTACGTGACATAGCGTTTTTGTTCTGCAAAAAAAAAAAAAAATTTAAAACACTACTTTTTGTGCATGTTGTACCAAATATGGCACAAATTGTCTGAACTGTTATCACGCGTAGTGCCATATATGGCACTAAGTTCAATTTCGATTTATTTTAAAAACTATTTATGCTACAAGGACGTACTTACATTTTTTGAAATCTGCAGAAAAAATCCAACTGACTAGTATTTTTTTGTTTGATAATCAGTGATTCAAAAATCATGTTATCAAGCTCTGAAAACGCGCGAAAAGTTGATAATGCCGTATCAAATATTTTATTCGATTTTTATTATTATAGTACAGACATTTACCACTAGATAGTAAAGTCTTATATCAAATTTGTTTAGTTTTTTGTGCCAAATTCAACCATGCATGCAGTAACGCAAACGGACAAATATTGAACGAGATATATAAGAAAAACTAATTTGTGCCATTAATGGGACCATATGCAGAAAGGGGTTAACTCTATATATAAGCAATCAATCACCATTCACTGTTTTACCTTTATGGGTGTAAAATGTTGCATGTACCTAAAAGATCATTTATTGGGCCAAAATCATATCAACTGGGTTTATCTAAAGGTTCCTGTTTTTCTTTCTGTTATTGCCTTACTTACCTTTTACTCATATATTTTTTTTCTGATCCTTGACCATTGTTTAATTTTCATAGTATTTTATTTAACATACTTCGGTTTATTCGGATATATATATATATAGATCTATTTTGTTTATTATTAAAATTTAATTGTCTATTAAGTTTAGTTGTTATGATAAACAAAAATTGAACTTGTAATAATTAATAAATTTTAATCATTGTTATCTAAAAGAATTACTATTCTTCATTACCTTTCCCCATAGAATAAGGTACAAAATCCCTGGTGCTCCGGCTTTGCCTCGGCCCAGGGTGGACCCTTCTTGGGGTCCTTGTAAAGTGAGGCTGATGTTTATTAGTTTAGCTTACAACCTTTTCTCTCTTATCTTTGCAAGTCTATAGATTTCTTTCTCGCCTTCCTTTGTTCCTACACTATCATACAACTCATCATACTTCTTAAACTTTGCATTACTTACTGCACACTTGGCTTCTTTGCACAAGCGTTTATACTCCATTCGGTTTTCTCTCCTTTTACTCTTCTGCCATACTTTGAATTGCTTTTTTTTACTTTCTATGATTTTTTGAACGTCCTCATCCCACCACCAAGTTTCCTTGTTTCCTAGCATTCTATTCCTACTCTCACCAACAATCTCCTTTGCAGTATTCTTTACACAACTAGCAAATCTATCCAACACATCATTTATGTCTCCCTCGACATTCTACTACGTCATCTCTTTTACCGTCTTAACAAACTCTTTTTCATTTTCCCCTTTCAATTTCCACTACCGGATCTTCGATTTTTCTCTTGTGTTTCTTCTATTTTTATATATTCTCTTTACGGTACAAAACAACTCCATTACCATCAGTCTATGTTATGTAGTTACACTCTGGTATAACTTTACAGTGTTTTACTCACTTTACACTCTCTCTCTTCCCCATAAAATAATCGATCTGTGATCTATTCCTCTGTTGTATTTAAATATGGAACAGTCTTTTTGCTCTAACTTATAGTTATAACAGTTCAATAATAACGCAATAATGTAATTAATAAAGATATAATCATACAAAATAAAATATAAAATAATGATACACTTAAAACACAATAAATAAATAATACACAAAATGAAAACTTAATGTCACAAACGTATCACGCGGAATGAGATTACCTTCGGTACTCCCGAGGTCTTCTCTCTCTCCTCCTTTTTAATTCTTTCCATTTCGCCTTATATACTAAAATATTTTGTTTTTCTTTTTATAAAATTCATATAGTAATCATTTTCAAAAATGTTTATAAATATTTACTTCCTGATCTAGTAACAATAATTCGGGAATTACAATTAATCTAAATATTACAAAAGTGTTCTACTTCTAGGTTGACAAATAATAGACTACATTATATTTTATAATAATAGATCAAGAAATTCATAATTAAACCAAACATTACAAAAATGCTTCGTTTTCAGTTTTACAAAATAATGACCTATATTACACCTCTCACTCATATAAGTTATATAATGTTCATCCTTCTTTCTAAAATAAGTATTAACCACAACAAGATCATACGATACTGCGAAATCCATGATTCTATCTCCAGCCTCATTCTTCCTACTTAAAGCATACTTTCCATTCATATCTCCAACTATCACCACATCCTCATTGCCAGGTACCCCTTGCATCACCTCATCAATCTCTTAACAAAACACTTCCTTGTTTATTTCATTACATTCCACTTGTGGTACATAGGCACTTATTATATTCAGCACTTTTTCTTCTAATATCAATTCTGTCACTTTTTCTATATTCTTATATATGGCGGCCAAAATTATTAGATCACCAAAGAAATTCGAATTAAAATTTCTGTCGATAATTTTTTGCAGGTGAATTATTTTTTCTTTGAATCTACAGCAATCATGTTTGTTAACTAAACTTCATTTCAAGTTTTTTTTTATCGCAGTTTCTTTACCTGTAATAAAGAATTATCAGTTTGAATATTTTCAGGTCAGTTTTAATTTTACCTTAAACGGTTAAACACTGATTTTGTTTTCCTTATTTTTCTTTAAAACTTAAAAATGAATGTTCACGGTCGAGTTAGACATGCATTATCGTTGGAGGATTGTGTTAGGGCGTTAACATTAATGGAGGAAGGTCGTAGTCAGCGATATATCGCAGAAAGGCTTGGCGTGACCCAATCTGCAATTTCTTATGTTCTAAGAAGACATAGAGAGAATGGTAATCATCACAGAAGACCAGGTCAGGGTCGTAGACGCGTTACCAATGCCGCCCAGGATCGCTACATGGTTCAACAAGTTCTTCGAAACCGGACATTAACAGCTCCTGAGGTGCAAAATTCGGCTAGAAGGACTTATGGAATCCAAATCAGCTCAAGAACGATAAGAAGACAGTTAAGGGAAAGAAACCTGACGTCACGGATCCCAGCTAGAGGGCCGCGTTTGACCGTAGGGCATCGGAGGAACAGACTTCAATTTGCAAGAATGCATGTTAATTGGGAGCCGGCCGATTGGAATCGAGTTTTGTTTACCGACGAGTCAAGATTTTCCCTGTACCATTCAGATAGACGCGTTCGAGTTTATCGGAGACCTGGAGAACGGTACGCACAGTGCAACTTCATTGAAGACATTCGTCATGGTGGAGGCAGTGTTATGTTTTGGGGAGGCATCTCTTTGGGAGGACGTACGGAGCTCGTGGCGCTTCGGAGGGGTAATATTAATGCTGTCCGATACATGTCGGACATTCTTGAACCTCATGTAGTGTCATATGCTGAAAACTTTGGTGCTGGCTTCATTTTTATGCAAGATAATGCACGGCCACACACAGCTCGGGTGACACAAGATTTTCTTCGTCGTGAAAATATTGAGACCATGAATTGGCCAGCTAATAGTCCTGACCTAAACCCCATTGAACATGTATGGGACATGATCGGAAGGCGATTTAGAGCGCTCCCAAATCCTCCGAGCGACCTTGACGGGCTTACTAATGCCATTTCAGAGATTTGGAACAACATCGATCAAGGGGACATAAGGGAGCTTATTTTAAGCATGAGGCGACGGTGTGAAGCTGTCATACGAGCGAGGGGTGGCAACACTAGGTATTGAGAGTTTTTTTCATGGGTGAACTAAAATTTCGTTTTTCAGGATTTTGTTATTTTTTTAGTGAAAGTTTATTTTTGTTATTTTTTTACAATATAATGGCGTATAATCAGTGTTGGGAAAGTTCCTTTTTAAATGGAACTCGTTCCGTTCCCCGTTCATTTTCTAAAATATGAACTCGTTCCAGATCCTAGTTCTTTATATTAAGAAGGAACTTGTTCCAGATCCAGTTCCTCCAAATAAGAACTCGTTCCACTCTTCGTTCCTTTTATGTAACCAAGTTATTTAAAAAATTGTGGTAATGAGATCATGATAACGGTCATCAATGATTTTCATCAGCAGTCGAATACAAAACAAATTTGTAGTATTCCTTATCTAAAAGTATTCGAAAATTATATTTATAAGCAGGTAGTAAATGCTAACGACTTGTGTCAACGCGACCAATGTCTATTGTCTACATATAAGTTAGAAATAATAAATCAGAAAACCCAAAACCTTTAACATAAATTAGTTAACAAGAAACGACGATAATATTCGGTGCATTATTTAATATATGTACACATATATTAAATATTTACTGTATACCTACATGTGATAATAACTCTATTTATAGTCAATTGATTCATTTAAACAGCCTACGATCTCGGCTGGGTATATAGGGGACTTCCATTGTCAAAAGTCAACTAAAAATACCTTAATATTTTAATGTCTAGATACGAAGAAAACTACACTAAAACATGTTTATAAAAAATTTTAGGAACTGTAATTTCCGTTCACGTTCCTTAAAAAATGGAATTTGTTCATTTTCCTCGTTCCTTTATTTTAAAAGGAAGCAGTTCCTAGCATCGTTCCTTCAAAAAGAACTCGTTCCAGGAATCCGTTCCTTTTGGAACCAGTTCCTTCTCAACACTGCGTATAATAAGATAATCGGAGTTTTTCTATATTCCTTACTCAAAACCAACAAGATATCAAATCTTATTTGAAAAAAATCTTTAAGTTATTGTGTGATCTAATAATTTTAGCCGGCAGTATATATCTTACATTAAAGCTTATGTAATGTACTTTTATATGAAAAATAAAAAATTCGAACTTTAAATAATCTTTATGTTGAAAACGAATATCAACGTTAATAATTTATTTCTTTATTTTATATTTCTATAATTTTTTTATTATTATTTTTGATTAAATACTACGAAAATAACTTTGTTATATTTATAAAATCGCATAAGATATTACAAAAATAGAACACCAATTAAGAGCCAATGAATATATATTGCATTGTTATTATAGAATGAAGAATTTTTCGTTCAACCATTACCAAAAGTTTTGATCAAATTTAGACTAGGTAATGTGCTTGATATGGATATTACTAACAAAGAGGAAACTGATCAAAAGACATCTTGTTTGACAGTCTACGACGGGTTGAAACCCAAAGATTCATTGATAAGTATTGCTAATCGTCTTGCTAAGAAATACATTGTAGAAAAAATGCCTGTATGTAATGTACCAAATATGTGTATAACAGACAAACATATAGATTCTCAGGGCATGTCAAAAAGAAATGCACTGAATAGGGGTAAATGATAATGATACTTTTTTACAATATGTAATTATGTAATATATTATTAATTATTTACTATTTAATTAATAGGAATGAGTTGTGTTTTTGCTAGCGTACCAAGAAATTTTATAAAAGTTATACAGATGTATGTATACTATAAAATCATTACATTAATTTAATTTAATACTGGTTATCAGAGCTATGCATTAATAAATTTCATCTGATCCACTTTGAAGGACCCAAAGTTTAAACAGCTTATTTGTAGGATTTTATAGTAACGCAGAAATATTTATCGTTTTAGGGGGCCATCCCTCTTAAACGGGCTAAAAACTATAAAATAGAAAAACACATTACTAAAAAGGAGAGGTCGCAGTAATGGGATCACTTATTTTCAAAAAGTTATATGAATCTAATCTACATTGAATTTATAGTTGCATTTACATTATATTATTTGACAATTGTCCACCTAAACCGAAAAAAAAAGACATTGAAAATTTGAACTAACTTAATTAGTCCTTATTATTTTTAGGCTAGCGTAGCCACCTATTGGTCACGTGGAAAAATAATTAAACGTCATGTTAAAATTAAAATATTATTTATTTATTATAGAATTATTTAACTACTATAAAAAAAATAGAACAGTCAACTAGCCACATGCGGTTCGAACCTCGTACCGAGGTAGATGCTTTACCAAATAAACAATAGATTGCTGCTTTAGCCAGGACATAAATAATCTAGTTCAAATTTTCAAGTCGTTTTAGCACGAGGACATTGATAAAAAATTTAAAATGAATAAAACTATAAATTCATAATAGATCAGATCTATATAACTGTTTGAAAAACGGTAATTCCATCACTGTGACCTCCAGTTATAAGTTATCAAGTTGATTATTAAAAATTTGAACTGGCTGATGGTCACTCAGATTAACTTAATAGAATTAATAAATGCATATAAGTCATCAATCTGGCGATTTTTTTAAAATATTGATTTTTACATTTTTAACATGAAGTGTAGTTAAAAAATAAAATTATAAATCTTTAAATAATTTTTAGAAATCCTTTAGAGTTTACAATACACGAAAATCATAATAGCACATGGGTAGAAATAGGTAAAGGGCAAATATATTTAAACAAATATTCTAGTTTTGTTGACGCAGTAGCTCATCATTTTTATGAAAAAGGATTCTCCAAACATTCACATCATACTAGAGGAGTATATGATATAAACAGCATGGATAATACTAAATTAATCGGAAAAATTGCAATTTATTTAAAACTCACATGTCATGGACCACAAGGAGAAGGTCGAATTAAAAATTTATGTTTACCAGACCTAGAAAAAAATATACCAAATCCAATATTTTTAAAGGAAAACTCATTTGACTTTCCAGTTGAGGAACGACATTGTCAATCTAAACAGCTAATGACATATTATGATACATCCAATTGCCAAGAAATTTATAAAACAAACGTTAACTTTGATATCAAAAAACTTTTAAGTTGTGAAAAGTGAGAAATTTAATTTTTTTTAATAGGGTTGTATTTATTATCTTGATTATAATTATTTCTCAATAAAATTAAAAATATAATATAATATAATGTATAAATATAAAAAATTTCCTGCATTTAAATTAAGTGCTTAATAATTTATAATATTAATAAGGCTTCAGAAGATTTATTTTTTTACCATTTAAACATTTTAGAATGCTATAAATTTCCTTCGGTAGTTTATTTTGGTTTTTTATATATCTAGTATACAATGTTATAATGAAACATAATAATTAAAGGAATGTTATAATATGGGATCTGTATAATATCTTGAGACCCGATTATAAAACTAATTTATTTATAACTTTAGAAATATGTTATAACTAATTTCTCCAAAAAAATGTTCCTAAGAAAAGTGAATAGACTTTAATTTCAGAATAAACTCTAGATATTAGTTAGTTTAGTTTAATGAAATTTGTTATGTCACTATTAATAAGTTGGAGGTCATTCGTAAAATACATATTTTCCATTATATTTCTAAACTTGATATATTGATATAAAAAGCGGGCTTTTTAGATTAGTAATTCGGCCTGTAACAACAACGTGGTTTGCCACTTGCATAACGACTAGCTAGAGTAGCAAGGGTCGCCACCACCTAGGCGAGGTGTCATACCTATCAGATATGATTACTGGACCATAGGTGGAATTTAATTTTAAGTGAATTAAAAGTATAATCTAAGTTAATATGTCGTTTTATATATAAATTACTATAATGCCTCGTGGTTTATAGAAACANCTATAATGCCTCGTGGTTTATAGAACACAATTATGACAATCAAAGTTGTATGTGGTTGATATGTAAAACATACCGTAGCCCGTGTTTAGATTAAGGAATAGGAATGAAATACACGCGAGTAATTAAGTTACTCGCGCAATAAAATAAATATTACAGTTGAAATTAATAAGGAAATTTAATTTAATTGTTAAAAAAAGAAAATTAAGTTAAACATGGACAAAAATGCGAATGCATCAAAAACCATGTCTACAAATAAAGGCAATACAAATAATATTACAAACATCACGGACGGTATTGGAACACATCCGTTAATGTTAACCGGAATTTAATAAAGAACACCAGGAGCGGTCTGGACACTCGCTCCTTAGCGTTGGCTAGAAGAAAAGGGAAACACGTGCTCTCCACACATAAACAAAATTAAGTTAATTTACAATAAAATAAAATGAAATAAAATAATTAATAAAATATAGCTCATTACATAAATATAATATAAAAAAAAAAACGATACCCGGTCTCCGAAGAGACCCATCCGATGGTCTGGATGCTTCGCTGAAAAGATCTGGCCGTTCGCCGTTGGCGGCTCTACTCCATCATTGAAAAATATATCAATAAAACAACAAATGTGTGCACCCCAGCACGGTCAATGACAGAAGAAAGAATAGAGAAGAGTCAACACCGATCTAACGGCAATTTCATATCGATAACGGCCAGTCTTTTTGGAAGGGATCAATACTGATAAACAATTCGATTTTAATTATATTTCTCTTTTATCGCCTTATCTAGCGGTCAGAGGCAAAATAATGAGTGGTTGACACCGCTGTGTCAGAAAAAGGTTCTTTCGCGCGATAAAATAAATAAGTAGACATAACAAAAAATCATAAACGGTCCACCTTCGAATTTGTGACGTTACAAACTCGAATTTCGTTTCTACTTCTATAATTATATTTAAATAAAAAATGGGTAAATAATATAGCATAAATAATGTTGATAAGCACCCAGAATCTTAAATACTATTAAATATTTAAAATGTTGATAATGAGAAAAATTATTTGGTTCAAAAAACTATACAAAATGATTTTTTATCATAATATATTTAGTTTTATAAAATAACATTTCAGAAATGATGAGTACAGAGGAAAAACGGTAGTAGTCCAATTTTATCAATTTTTATTTATAGTATCATTTGATAGCAGATTAGGAGTAGTGTTGACTTTTGAATTCTATTAAGTGAAAAAATCTTTCAGTCCGCTGTTATAAAATAGAAAAGATTAGATGTACTGGAGAAGAAAGATTGTCGTCAGTGCGATTATGGGGAAAATAGTTTGAAGACCAACTCCGAAATATTTATATTAAATATATATATTTAATATTAATAATAAATTTTATCTTTTCCCTTTCTGTTGTATCTACTACAATAATAATACAGAATACTGTGGTATTATAACGTTATCTTGATAATTTGGTAATTTATAATTATTGTACCATGTATTTTCCTGTAACGTATTTCGTACAATATACAAAATACGATAATAGATTTTACATTTTTGTCACTATTTTTGCTGTTATCGCTATAATCGGCAGTTAGTTCTTGTGTTTATTTCTTAATTATTCATAATGGATAGTAAATTTAGTTTTTCATGATGATATTAACATTGAGCAATGGCCATCTAAGAAAAGAGCGGAAAATGGGCGAAGAACGGGATGTTTTGAAAAAATTGCGTGCTACAACACATGAGTTAGGACCCGACTGTAAGTGTAAACGTTATCGTTGTTTCGAAAATATTTCTGATGAAGAAATGTGTCGTATCATTAGAGAGTTTAATAGTCTAGAGAACTAAAATAACCAGAGTAAATACCTTTGCGGACTTATTTCAGTATTACCTGTTATGAAGAGGCGCAGGAGACGCGACTAAGTGACGATAATGCTCAGTGCAATTCGGCTAGTTATACCTACCGCGTGCGTGCTTTTTGCGATGACAAGTTCAAAGACACTCCAGTCTGCATAAAAGCATTTATGACTTTGTATGGTATTACTGCGAAACGCGTACTAACTCTTAGGGAATCGTTATCAATTACGAGAAACATACCTATAGAAAAAAGGAGAAAACATAAAAATCGTCCCAGAAAACTTTCAGATGAAATTCTTAACAAAGTAGATGATTTTCTAAAATCATTGAAAGGTCACAAGTCTCACTATTCTTTAAAAGATTAAAAAAAAATATATTTATCTGAAACTCTAAACATAAAAATTATTGCACTCGATGTTTGTAAACAAAAAATCTGAGTATAAAATTTTATATGAATCATTTCATAACATTTTTGAAACAAAATTTAATATTAGTTTCGGCTATCCTCGTAAAGATACATGCAGTGTATGGGATTCTCAAAAGGCTGAAATTGCCACTCTTACGGAAAACCTTAAAAATGTAACCCCTTCGTCAGCACCACTTGTGCATACTGAAATCAAAAAAGAGTTGAATGAAAAAATTTTGGAAAAAAATTTACATTTAGAAAAAGCTGAATAATTTTACAAATTAAAAAGAAGTTATAGGAAAAAATAATGCGAACTGATACACTTGAAGCTATTAGTATTGATTATCAAAAAAACTTACCCACTCCTAATATAACTACCAACGATGTGTACTATAGACGGTAATTAAACTTTATTACATTTAATGTTCATATTCTTTCGAGCGGACAGTCAATATTTTACACGTACGATGAATCTGTCGCGAAGACAGAGGCAGATGACGTTTGCTCCATAATTTTATATACGAAATTTTTTTTAGGAACAAGTTCGTCAGATAATTCTGCGATTCTTGCGTAGGACAAAATAAAAACATTACAATTTTCAGATTTTTCCATTATCTTGTTACTCAAAATGATCGTTTTGAT